TAGGCGATTCTCTTGCCTCAGCTTCCTGAGTAGCTGGGACTATAGGCACCCGCCACAACGCCTGGCTATTTTTTGGTTGCAGCTGTCATTGTTGTTTTGGCGGGCCAAGGCTGGATTCAAACCCACCACCTAGGTGTATGTGGCTGGCACCTTAGCCACTTGCGCCTCAGGCGCCAAGCCTCAACCTCCAACTCTTGAACTCAAGCAATCCTCTTTCCTCAGTTGTTCTATTTTTTTTATTTAGTAGAAACGGGGCTCTCACTTTTGCTCAGGCTGGTCTCGAACTTGTGAGCTCAAGCAATCCATCCCCCTTGGCCTCCCAGAGTGCTAGGATTACAGACGTGTGTTTCTGCAATGATAAGGGATACTGCAGACAGGGAATGTCCTCAAGCTCCCATGAAACTTTGTAAATCCCACAGGTGTGCCACATTCTGTAGGAGACTCACACCAGCAGCAGATACTGCCATTTCTCACAAACCAAATGACCTATAGCCCTGATAACTGAGGTTTGAGAGGGATGCAGGGATTTGGCCATAGTTGTTCAGCAGGCAAGTGGGAGCACAGGGACTAGGCTCTGGAGCCTGACTTCCTGAGAAGCCCAACTTCATACAGTCACTGCCTGCCATCTATGGCTTGTAAGGAAGGCAGACATGCAGCGTGGCACAGACAGACAGAGGTAGGAGCCCTGGGCTGGTCCAGGCCTGGGGAGACAAGAGGGCCTTGGGGAGGCACTAGCCTAGCTGGAGGGAAGGGGCATAGGAAGGGCCCAGTGATACACTTAAGCTGAGCCCTAAAGGGTCAAGCCACAGATGGTGAGTGTGAGCTGGGCTGGAGCAGGTAAGAATTCTGCTTTCCCCAGTTCAGCAGCCTCCCAGTGCTGCCAGCTGGGTGTTCTCCCTGCCACTTGACCTTCCTCTACAAAACTTCCCAAGGGGCCTGGTTCCTACCCTCTCCTGGGTCAGGCATTTGCTCTGGACTCCTCTGGCCCAGATGCTGAAGCCACACTGCTATTAGTCATGGCTCCACATCACTTATCCCAGCAGTAACTCACCTCCTTGGGCCATGAATGGGGGGTAACTCCACAGCTTAGATGGCTGCTGCGTGGTGGATCCTTCAGCATTATCATCATTTTCATCATCCTAACTTCCATTGACTGTGCTTAGCCAGCCTCCTGAAGTCTGGGCCAGTCTTAGAGCCATGAGGACACAAGGAAGCCTCTAAGTTTTCTCTTCTTGGGCTTGAAACTTCCTCCCGGGGCTATGTGTCCTATGCAAGTTATTTAAATTCCCTGCACCTCAGTTTCCTTCTCTATAAAGGGGATAATAGTCCTGAATTCATGGAGTTGTTGTGGGATATAGTGAGAGGATACAGAGAGAAAAACATTGGGCTGGGTACAGTGGCTCATGCCTGTAATCCTAGCCCTGTGGGAGGCTGAGGTGGGTGGATTGCTTGACTTCAGGAGTTCAAGACCAACAGGAGCAAGAGTGAGACCCCCATCTCTACTAAAAAAGCAAACAAATAAAAAACTACTAGGTGGGCCTTGTGGCAGGTGCCTGTAGTCCCAGTTACTCTGGATGCTGAGGTAGGAGGATTGCTTGAACCCAAGAGTTTGAGGTTTTGGCACTCTGCTCAGGGTGACAAGTGAGACTCTGTCTCAAAAAGAAACAAAAAACAAACAAAAAAACCAAACAAACAAAAAACCAAGACAATTTAGTGAGGCTGAATAGACAAATGTGTAGTACATGTAATAAATTTCCACTTTTAGGTCGTGCGTGGTAGCTCATGCCTGTAATCTTAGTACTCTGGGAGGCGAAGGTGGGTGGATTGCCTGAGCTCAGGAGTTCAAGATCAGCCTGAGCAAGAGCTGGACCCCCTCTCTAAAAATAGGCGAGTGTTGTGGCAGGTGCCTGTAGTTCCAGCTACTTGGGAGGCTGAGGCAAGAGGATTTTGTTTGAGCTTCAAGTTGCTGTGAGCTACAGTGATGCCATGGCACTCTACCAAGGGTGACAAAGTGAGAGTCGGTCTCAAAAAACTTTTTTTCCATTTCTGTTGTTTTTTTGAGACAGGTTCTCACTCTGTCACTTGAGCTAGAGTGCAGTGGTGTAATGGTAACTAACTTCGACTTCAAACTCCTGAGCTCAAGTGATCTTCCTGGTTCAGCCTCCCTACTACCTGGGACCACAGGCACACACTACTGAGAGGGCAAAGACCAAAAATAAAAGATTATTCCGAAATGTAAAACGAAAGAAAACAGAGTCCAGGTTCAATGTGGGCAACTTCGACCTTTATTTCCACCTGGGTGTGGGCAAGCTGAGTTTGGAAGGAAGTCAGTAGGTGGGTTAAGGTGGATAGGGATTTTAAAAGGGTTGGAAGGGGGGCGGCACCTGTGGCTCAAAGGCGTAGGGCGCCAGCCCCACATACCGGAGGCGGCAGGTTCAAACCTGGTCCTGGCCAAAAACTGCAAAAAAAAAAAAGGGGCTGGAAGGGTAGGGGTTGGCACATTCTTTCTTTCCTGGGTGGGACATTCTATGCATTTATTTCCTCCTGGGCAGGTCGGTTCTATTTGGGCGGATCCCTCCATTTGACTCTATCATCCCAATCTTTTTAATCTATTATAAGGAGGCGGGATGATGGGTGTGGTATCTTTTTGACTGTTTCCTGCTGGATGAGGGGCATCCTGGACTGTCTGTAAGGAAAATGGG